CCTCTGCTCTTGAGCAAGTGTTCTTAACCACTGCATCCTCTCTCCAGCCCCTACAACTTTTATTTAGTGTGTGTGCACGCACATGGAGGTCAGGGACAACTTCTTTCACCTTTGGTGAGGATTTGGTTCTCTCACCTTTACATGGCCAGCTTGTGCGGCAAGTGGACCTGCATCCCTTTTACCAGCCAGAGCCCAGCACTCTCGAGCCTCAGGCCAGAGCATCTTGAGTTTGAGGCTGGACTGGGATGCAGGGTGGAGCCCCTTAAAAGACAAAAACAAAAAACAGAAAAAAACAACTGTAGTAAATTTAGTCTTTGTGACTAAATCCTGTGTATTTCTAAGGTTCTTCTCTCAAAACACATCTCTGAAAATGACATCACAGAGCCAAAGTACCAGTGTGGTTTACCTTAAGGTATTCCTTACACTGAGCTTTGTGCTCCTGGGTACTGAACGTGTGTCTCCTCCTTTTGTGATTTTTCAGAAAAGATTAAAATAATATTCCTCTCCTGGTGTGGGAAGTCCGTCTATATATGTGTTGCTTTTATTGGTTAATGAATAAAGAAGCTGCCTTGGCCTGTAATAGGGCAGAGCAGAGCTAGGCAGGGGAAACGAAACTGAATATTGGGAGAAAGAAGGCGGAGTTGGGAGACACCAGGTAGCTCTGCCTGAGACAGATGCGGAACCTTGCCAGTAAGCCATAGCCACGTGACAACACACAGATTAATAGAAATGGGTTAACCAAAGATATAAGAGCTAGCTAGCAATATGCCTTAAGTGATTGGTCTAGCAGTGGCTTAAATAATATAGTTTCTAAGTGATTATTCTGGGTGGCTGGGACCGAACAAGTGGCCTCTAACAACACCCTTTTAGAACAGTACAGAAAATCTAAAGGGAGCACCATGCCTCATTCAAAAGTATCTGATCACACACAGCAGGAATGTGCTTACCACAGACTTCATTGTCCTGGCCATGGGGACTGTCCCAAAGAAAGTCCAGTCCTTTCAGAATGTCTCAAGAAACCAACTGTAGTTCAACTGTGCCCTCCCAAACTTTTTGTTGTTGTTGTTTGTTTTGTTTTTGAGACAGGGTTTCTCTGTGGCTTTAGAGCCTGTCCTGGAACTAGCTCTTGTAGACCAGGCTGGCCTCGAACTCACAGAGATCCGCCTGCCTCTGCCTCCCAAGTGCTGGGATTAAAGGCATGCGCCACCACCGCCCAACATCCTCCCAGACTTTATAGGTGAAAATCCAGACTCTTAAGGTAATTGCATAGAAGGGAGGGCCGCTGGGAGGTGTTCAGTTGCTTGTCTAAGAATATTAATCTACAAAATACCGTGATCCAGAGCTTCCAGCTTCCAAATGTATGCTAAATACATGTTTGTAGGCCATTAGGTCAATGATGGTTTGTTACAGCCACCGAATAGGACTAAAAAGGGAAATTCCCAGACCAAAACAATAGGTTTCCTTGGTTTACTTTGGCTCTGTAATTCTGGGCTGGCAAGTGGTGTCCAAAAGAGCTACACCTCAAAGCCAGCAGTTTTTTTTTTTTTTTTTTTTGTTTGTTTGTTTGTTTTGGTTTTTCGAGACAGGGTTTCACTGTGGCTTTGGAGCCTGTCCTGGCACTAGCTCTTGCAGACCAGGCTGGTCTCGAACTCACAGAGATCCGCCTGCCTCTGCCTCCCGAGTGCTGGGATTAAAGGCGTGCGCCACCATCGCCCGGCAGTTTTGGGGTTTCTTTTAGAAGATTTTTATTTATTTTTTTAAATATTTATTTATTTATTTTGTATACAATATTCTGTCTGTGTGTATGCCTGCAGGCCAGAAGAGGGCACCAGACCCCATTACAGATGGTTGTGAGCCACCATGTGGTTGCTGGGAATTGAACTCAGGACCTTTGGAAGAGCAGGCAATGCTCTTAACCTCCGAGCCATCTCTCCAGCCCCTCGAAGATTTTTAAAATTACTCTTTTGTTTTCTGAGAGACAGGGTTTCTCTGTGTGACTCTGGAGCCTGTCTTGGAACTCGCTCTGTAGACCAGGCTGGCCTTGGACTCCCAGAGATCCGCCCACCTCTGCCTCACAAGTGTGGGGATTAAAGTCATAGATGATCACCACCCTCCATTAATATTTTTTAAGCGCTTGAATCTTAGAAATTGTGATATAAACTGAAAGAATTTACAATCAGGGAAAATACTGACGGGGCTTTTAGATTTTTTGTTCTTTTTTTTTTCTTCAAATGTCAGTCACTGTATCTAGACCCTATGAAAAAGCTTGGTGGCAGGAATAGGCGGGAGAGATGACAGCTCAGCATCTGAGAGCACTGGGTCCTCTTTCAGAGAGGTTCAGGTTCAATTCCCAGTACTCACATGGTCACTCACAGGCGACTAACTCCAACTGCAGAGCATCCAGCGCCCTCTTCCGACCTCTGTTGGTACTGCATGCACGTGGTGTGCAGAGACATAATGCAGGGAAACCATTTACATACATGAAATAAATCTAAAAAATAAAAAAGCTGGGCGATGGTGGCGCACGCCTTTAATCCCAGCACTCGGAGGCAGAGGCAGGCGGATCTCTGTGAGTTCGAGGCCAGCCTGGTCTACAGAGCGACTTCCTGGACTGACTCCAAAGCTACGGAGACCTGTCTAGAAAAACCAAAAAAGTAAAAAAATAAAATAAAGAAGCCACTTTGGAAGATTTGCACTTGGGGTGCTTCAGACTAGGGTGTTGTGGGTGGGTCAGAGTTCAAACCGGGCCCATTCAGGTGCAGGACCACGAGGCTCCTGCAAAGCAAGCACGAGACACGCCTGGGCACACCTGTGCTGCGTGTGGAAGGCAAGCCAAATCTATCAGAGAATAAGAGCGGGGAAAACCAGGTGGTGATGGAGTTTGGTTTTGAAATACTTTGCCATAGAACAGCTAGGATAGGGTATTGCAGATCCAGCTTCCTTGGAGACAAAAATACTTCATGAAATAATTAACCTTAAAAGAAAAAAAATTAAAAAAGAACAAAGAAATAATTAAGCTTGAAAGAACTCTTGGCTTGCTTCAAAGTTGCTGACGTGTGGCCAGAGGCAATAAATGCTTGGCTGAACTAACAAGGCCGTAATTGCTGAAGATACATGATGGGCCACCGCATTCCTAATGTCATCTTTGAAGCCTGATGCCTGCAGCCAGCAGCTGCTGCCCACATGCCTCAGGGCAGGTATGCCCGGCAGAGGACACCAGTGGTGGCTTTTGTTGGATCCCAGTGCGAGGCCACCCTTGGGGGAAGCCACTGTGGCGTGCTCGGCCGGGGTAGCAGGAACTGAACCTTCAGGGGGAACTGGCGCTGCTGCCACCACCGCACGACAGGAAGGCCCTCGGCTAGGTCGGGTCCTTCCTTCCTGCAGACTGCGGAGCGCACGCGCTCGGTCCCCGGAGCGAGGCGCCCTCCACGGTGCAGCCGGGGACAATGGGACAGGGCGCGGGCGCAGCTACGGCGGAGCCCTGGGGGCCAGGGTGGCCGCGCGCCGCCGCTCTGGAGGACACGGCCCTCGTCTCGCAGGCACAGGCACCGGACACTCGGTGCCAGGCGCGACGCGGCCGCCCCACGCGGGACGCGCCCACGAGGCCCGCCGCAAAATGGCGACCGCGCCGACCGGCGCCCCCTGCCGGCGCATGCGCAGGGCGGCCCCGCCCGCGAGAGCGGAAGTCTTGTGACCCCGGAAGTGACCGTCGGAGCGGCGGGCAGCGGACGACGTTCGTCACTTGGTGCGGGAGGGAGCGCGAGAGCGGCGGTCGAGCCTCCGGTGAGTGGGCGCCTTGCGCGGGCGCGGGGCGGCGCGGCGCGCGAGGGGAGCGGGGCGGCTTTGTGCGGCGGCCCCGGCGGCAGCGGCGCTCGCGGGCGGGCGGACAGGCGGGCGGGGCGCGGTCACGACAGCGGGCGGGGCAGGCTCGGGGCGCCTCGGAGGTCCCGTCCGAAGGGTCGCGGCTGCCCAGGCCAGGGCGCCAGGTGCCCGTGGGACCCAATCCCCGGCCACGCGGGCGGGGTCCGGCGTGGAAGCCTCGCCCGGAGCTCCCGCCGCGCGGCCCCGCCCCGCCCGGATTGCGGGCCCTGCGGAAGTGCGGGCCGCGCCCTGGATGCTGTCGCCCGCGGCCACGCTTGGCCGCGTCGGGCGGGGTCGCCCGGAGCCTCACGGTGTCGGACCCCCGCTTTCTGTGTTTGTTTGGCGGACACCTCGCGGAGGGACGACGGCGTGGGGGCCTTGTGGCCGGGCTGTCCGCTCATCACTGCGCATCGCCTGCAGGGATCCGAGTGGGTTTCTGGGAGGAGACATTGGGGGAAATCTGCGGAACTGAAAGACACCCGAGGCGCTTCCGTCCGGGTTGGTTCTGCACCGCCACTGACGCCTTAGGGTCAGGGCCCAGAAACAGGTTCCTGAGATTTATTTACTAGCGGTGCACCAGCTCCCGAGTTGCATTCGCAGACCCTCACAAGCGAGGACCACCGTGCAATTTAGGATCTCCTTTGGGCTCTTAGGATTTAGAGCGGTCGCCACATAGTTGAGCTTAGGACGGCAATCGATTGGCAGGAACGCTCAGACGCTTGTCCTGCACGTGGTTTAGACACAGAGCATCCTCCTTTAGGAGAACTTACCTCCCGGACCCAGTAAGAGTGTCTTGGGATTAGAGCCTGGGCAGCTGGGGGCAGCAGGAGGCCCCAAGGGAGGTAGTGATCCATCCGCCAGTTCAGTTCGGTCTGGAGGCTCCTCATTCTTTAAGGGGAGGAAAGGTGTTTTGCTTCTGTGAGGCACAGGCTGTGGTCCCCATTTTGTTGCTTGTGATGTACCTAGGGTGTCGCCCTCTCAGCTGAGCCTCTGAGTTAGTTGAGCAGTGGCAGCAGCCTCCTGTGTCCTCACGAAGTTCCCCACGCGTGTTTACCTCCATCATTCCCTGCCGGTGTCAGGGTCTCCCTAGGGTGGAAGGCCTCCAGGCGGCCATCGTCCCACTCACTCCCTACCCACAGGTGTCCCAGGCTAGCGGTGAGCATGGCAGAACAGGAGCCCACTGCTGAGCAGCTTGCCCAGATAGCGGCCGAGAATGAGGAGGATGAGCACTCCGTCAACTACAAGCCCCCAGCCCAGAAGAGCATCCAGGAGATCCAGGAACTGGACAAGGATGATGAGAGCCTTCGGAAGTACAAGGAGGCCCTGCTGGGCCGAGTGGCTGTCTCTGCAGGTAGGTGGGTTGGAATAAGGATGTCACCTGACCCTGCCACCACCCCCTTTCCAGTTGGCCTCCCTCCCTTCAGAGAGTTGAAAAAAATCTAAGGAATGGGGCCCTGACTCTTGACGACTCTTACTCTCCAGACCCCAATGTCCCCAACGTCATTGTGACCCGCCTGACCTTGGTGTGCAGCTCTTCCCCGGGCCCTCTGGAACTGGACCTGACAGGTGAGTGGGTCCTGGAGTCCCTGGGTGGGGCAGCTGGCATCCAGTCGCTGCCCCTAAAAATACTTTTCTGCACTGGTGCCCTCTGGTGGGACAGAGGAGAAGTGCAACTAGGTGCTCTCCAAGGCTCTGCTTTGTGTCAAGGAAGGGGCTGTGGGAAGTGAGTGTGGGGGCAGGGTGGGAAGCCTCCAAGCCTTCAGCTGAACCTCCTCCCCAAAACAGGTGATCTGGAGAGCTTCAAGAAACAGTCATTTGTGTTGAAGGAAGGTGTGGAGTACCGGATAAAAATCTCTTTCCGGGTAAGGGAGAGGCTTCGTGAGGCCCGGCAAAGCGGGGCAGAGGAGCAGGACTGGGGAGCCAGCTGACCCTTGCTCTGTGTTCCCACAGGTGAACAGAGAGATTGTGTCAGGCATGAAGTACATCCAGCACACATACAGGAAAGGGGTCAAAAGTAAGTGGGTGCACTGTGGAGTGGGAGCTTGTGGGTTTGGGGAGAGGCTCACAGCACCGTGACCTTGTCCTTCCTGCCCCGCAGTTGACAAGACTGACTACATGGTCGGGAGCTACGGACCCCGGGCTGAGGAGTACGAGTTCCTCACACCCATGGAGGAGGCCCCCAAAGGCATGCTGGCGCGGGGCAGTTACAACATCAAGTCCCGCTTCACAGACGACGACAAGACTGACCACCTGTCCTGGGAGTGGAACCTCACCATCAAAAAGGAATGGAAGGACTGAGTTCCAGCTGGGAGGCGGGCAGGGCGACGGACAGACAGAAGGACCGACATGCCCCATCCCAAACCCCTACCCCCGCCCCCCCAAACCAAAGTGCTGACAGGACCCTCCCTCACCATTCCTCCCTGGTCCTCTCAGGCAGGCAGCTCTTCTGTCTGCCCCTCCTCCACCTCCTGCCTGCAGGCCCCTGTGGTCTCCAGTGTCACATTGCTGCTTCTGCCTGTGCGGTGGGGGAGGGGTTCCAGCCCAGGCCTCCAATCTGCTGTGTCCCTCCAGGTTCCCTCTGTCTTCCCTTCCTCAGGCCCTGGCTTCTAGAATGGAATGGAACACTGGGTTGCCCAGCCCAGTTGTCTCTGCCCCAGCTGAGCTAGGTTGCTCGGCGTGGGCAGGGTTGGGCTGTCTGTCCTTTAGCCCCACCACTCCCTGGCCAGGTCATCCATCACTGTCAGTCACTGTCTAACCATGATGCCTTAACATGTGGAACGTGTACTGGGGGCCGTCGCTAACTCTTAACTCCCCTGTCTGCATGAGCATGTGGTCTCCCCTGTCCTTGCCTTGTCTGCCATCCCCATCCTGGTGACCCACCCACGGAGGCCTGGGGTGCTGCTGTTGCTTCCTGCAGGCCTGGCCAGCTCTTCCCCCTCCCCGTGGCCAGGGTTGGGGTGGCTCCAGTAGCTAGGGGAGGGTCAATTGCCAAAACACAATGCCTCCAGCCCCATCTAGGAGGCAGGATAGGGTGCCTCATTCCTCTGCCTTCTCTGTCCTTAGAGGCAGCACTCGAAGCCCCTGCCCCAACAGAGAGCCCCTGAGGGACAAAGCCAGCCGAGCCTTACTTGTCTCACCTGGGCCCTAGGGCCTGAACCTCGTGCCTGGCCTGTCAGTATTTATTGCCTCCATCTGGGCCAGCTGGCCTGATGCCTCTGCCCTGGCTCTTGGTGCCACCATCCCTGGGCAGGCCCTCCCTGGACCCAGCCAGGACAAACGTGGGACCAAGTGCACACAGTTGGGAGCTGTCTCCTGTGCCTCCCCTCCCCCTCCCCGGTCCCCCGTGTGGAGTCTGCCAGGCCTAGGCCTCAACAGGCAGAGGAGCCTGTCCCTGCTTCTCTTCTGACTGGGAAATAAACACCCCTGAAGGAGTCTGGGGTGGTGTGGTCTATGCTCCTTGTGGGGCTTGGAGGGAATGGCAAGGCTCCCGTGGTGGGTGGAGTTCTCTGGCTAGGGGTGGCCTGCTGCTCACAGCCTTGTTGTGTCTTTGCTACTGGCTTCCTGTAGAGAAGTGAATATAAAAGAAACCCCGGAACCATGGTGACCTGACTCATTAATCTAGACCCTCCTGGGAGTTGGCCCTGGGCACAGAGGGATCACTAGGGTCAGCACGCCCTAGCAGGAGCTTGTCCTCAGGATGTAGTCTCACCGGCCACGCCTGGATGTCTTCACTTGGGTTCTCTCACACAGATGTCAACAGAATAGGGGCTCCACTAGAAGATCTAGAACCTTAAGAGACTGATCTGGGTCCGCACAACTTGTGTGGCTGGAACAGGAAGTTGGTACCCCAGAAGCCTCGCTCCACATTCGAGTATGGAGCTCTCTAGAGCATCTACAAGGCTAGGGACAGGCCCATTGCCCCATGTGGAAGCTTGTAGAGGAACCCTGAGAAGCGCCTGGGCCTTAACCAGTGCAGCATTAGCTGCTGCATAGCCCTGCAATGACCACAGGGAGGCAGGATTACATGTCTGAGCACAATGAAAGACAACCTCAAAGCCCTGCCCTGCCCTGCCCTTACAGGGATGTGTGCTCAGTGACCAGAAAACACCAAGCAGGAGTCACACCAGAAACTTAATTTTGACCTGGTGCCAGTTTTGGAAGCCACCCTCTGGTTAAGTTGTTCAGTAAGTAAAGTGGTTGTACTATCCATGCAGCTAGCAGTGGTCAGCTGCTACCCTGGAGCTTCCCAGGCTGGCTTTTGGGGTCCACCACTGTTGGCCAGTGGAGTGAAACTGCTGGCCTTTTATAAGTCAGGGGCCATGTCAGTCATCCCTACCAGTCCATGGGAACCCACAGAATAGTGGAGCCACTAACCTGTTAGTATTAGCCCCTCGCAGTAAGCAGCCAAATTGTTGACCCAAGCCTCTCCCAGAAATGTTCCTGGCACCATCAGGCAGGCCTTAGCAGGGTGAGGCTCTTTCCCCAAGCCCTGCAGCTTGACAAAGCCAGGACCGGCCAGTCAACTCTTAAAACTTTAATCTGTCAGCAATTGTTTATTGAGGAGGGGCTTATGAAGTTCACATCGGATCAAGAAACTTAATCTTACAACTCGAGGTTCGTCCTAGCCTGGTAGGTGTGTGAACTCAGACCCTGAGTGCCAAGTGTGCAAGCACACTGCCAACAACTAGGACTTTGCCCTGGCTCCTCCCTGAGCAGGTTAACTTACGATGTCCTAATAAAGTGCATGACGTGTTCCTTAGGTCCCAAGTCTAACCAGATCTCACCCCAAACCCCAGGAGCCAGAGGCAGGGGCCTCCCCATCCACTTCCCTCTATCCATGGCTCCAGGAATTCCCTCGTTTCTAGCTTCTCAGGCACCTCCAGATGGGCCTCCCTCCCCAAGGAAGGTCATGGTTGTAGGTAGTAGCAGTCACTGAGCAGTCAGTCGGCTTCCATGGTGTACGTAAGTAATCAGCTATTTTGATTTACAAGAACCTTCTCCAGCCGGGCGGTGGTGGCGCAAGCCTTTAATCCCAGCACTTGGGAGGCAGAGGCAGGCGGATCTCTGTGAGTTCGAGGCCAGCCTGGTCTACAGAGCTAGTTCCAGGACAGGCTCCAAAGCCACAGAGAAACCCTGTCTCGAAAAAACCAAAAAAAAAAAAAAAAAAGAACCTTCTCCATGCCCAGCATCATCCCATATCAGGGCTACTCTACCCGTGGGCTATGTATACCATGTCCTGCTTCCCGCTTCCCCCTAGGCTGTCACCAGCTCTCAGCTCATGCTCCAGTACAGATGTTGTGACCAGTGGCACCAACCTGCTGTTCACCCTACCGGACACCTGGAAAAATAGCAGTAATACTCAAAACCCTTAGCTCTGAGTGAGACTCTTTCCTGAAGGATATCCTGATACAGTTCTAAAAGTGGCCAGACAAATGGGCTCCAGCCGGTGTGGGTCTCGCATGACCTGGACTCTAGGTCCAAACTACCTCTTCTGCAGTGGGAGCTGCTCTTAGAAGTTATCAGCTTGGCCCTCAAGGCTACAGCCCATAGATGTTCAGATGATCCAACCTGCATTCTTTGGGTTGGGACATAATACCTCTATGTTATTTGGCTACTCAACAATCCCAGAGGGTCCAGGAATTTCAGGCCTCCCTCTGGCTTCTCAAGAACACGCTGCTGTGCCTGTTTGGGTCTGTGTAGAAGACCAATGCAGAAAGTAGACATTCATCAGTCTAAGATACTATGAGCACACGGGGAGGGGGGTGTTTTAGGGCTGGCCCCTCTTTCACACAATGTCAGTACCCCTACCTAGCTGTTATCCAGACAGGGCAGTTGCCTACACTGAGAGCCTTGTCCATCCTGTGCCTGCCCTAACAGCCCAGAGATAAGCTGAGATCTGATCCTATTTACTTCAGCCTGTCTTGTATATACCTGGAATGCTCCCGGGATGGTCCACTTCTTTTTTGTATTCTACTCTGTGTCCTGGAGGCAAGTTATCTTTAAACTATCACACTCAAAGCCCTACTCTGTTTACCTCCATAGACAAAACACCCCACCCCTACTTGTCCTTCAGCTCCTGGTACTCACCAGGTGTAGCTGAATGTACCTGTAAGTCCAGTGATTTAGGAGGTGGAGGCACCAAAATTGCTAAAAGTTCAGGGCCACACTGGTCTACACAGTTTCGAGACAATAGGACTACAGAGAGAGAGAGAGAGAGAGAGAGAGAGAGAGAGAGAGAGAGAGAGAGAGAGGGGGGGGGGGGGGGGGGGGGGGGGGGGGGGGGGGGGGGGGGGGGGGGGGGGGGAGGGAGGAAGAAACTTAAAAATAAAACAGAAGAATTTATCCATCTGCCTCTCCCATGCTGGGATTACAAGGGAACACTACCATACCAGCTGACTTTCTCTTCTCTGTCTTGGCTCCAAATTACAGTTTGTAAAACAGGTCAAGGCAACCACAAAACTACTGGAGATGGCGCAGCAGACCTGAAACAATTTCTATCACACCCAAGAGCAGGAGTGTGAACAGGTACTCCAGTTAGACAGAGAAAGGGAGACACACCTAGCCCAGCTGCTGCGGGACTGGGTACATCTGCTCATAAGCCCTCCTGGGCCTGTAGTCACCCTTTGGACACACGAAGGTTTTCCAGGGGGCACAACCAGTCTCTGACTCTCACCCTCCCTACCCTGGATGTGGTTGGGGCACAAGGGGCTTGGTCTTCAAGATAGAAACTCTAAGCAGAGTTACATGTAGGAAAGGTGGTAACACATGCCTTCATTTTGTGTCTCAAAAGAAACTATCAAAATACAGACGCATACTTAGGTTTCAACGTTTCTGAGAGCAGTATATTATGAGTCAATGTGTAGAGACTTAACATGGGAGTGCTTCCTGTCTAGTGACCCTTAGCTATCAGGACTGTTTCTGTAGTAGGAAGTGCAGAAAGGGGAGGCTGCCAGAAGGGAGCAAACAGAGCATGGGGGTGGGGGTGTGCAAGTCGGGTGACAGGCGTCGTGCAGTAAGGAAAAGAGTGGGCTGAACGTTGACAGGGATTGCTCACAGCTGTCACCCCAAGCACTCAGCCGGCTGGGGCAGCGCTTGAACTATCGCTTCAAGCTCGAGGCCATTGAATTCCAAGCAAATCAGGTCTAGAGTGGCTCAAACCCAAAAGACAGTGATGAATCTGGGATAAGTCGAGATAAAACGTGAGTCTCGTCTGTAACCCTAAAGGTTGGTTTACAGAAGTCAAAGTTTCCATTATTTAGCCCAACACACACAAATGCCACTTCAACATGAGGAACTGCTTTCTCCACTTCCCAATCGGGCTTCCACGAAGTCTGGGGCGCACTCTACTCCGCAGCTGTCTCGGGGGCGGGGGATGGCCGCAGTCCCTCGGACAACCAAGGATCGAAAAGAAGCGCCCAGGACGGTGGTGGCGCACGCCTTTGATCCCAGCACTCAGGAGGCAGGGGGATCTCTGTGAGTTCGAGGGTAGCCTGGTCTACAGAGCGAGTTCCAGGTCAGCCAGGGCTACACAGAAAAACCCTGTCTCGAAAAAAAGCAAAAACAAAATAAAGAGCCCGGCAACGTGCCCGCAGCCTGTGGGGACACCGAGCTGGAACCACGACGCCAACGAGCGGACCACGGAGCATAGACGTGGGCAGGGGCTGCACGGGCCGCACGCGCACAGGAAGTTGCATCACCCGGCTTCCGGGCGGGGCCGCAGGGGCGGGGCCAGTACGGAAACGCGGTCCAGTCAGAATGCAACACGAGGGGCTTCGGAGGCGCAGGCGTAGCTCCGCCCAGGAGCTCGGGGCTCCGCCCCACTGCCACGTTCGACGGAGAAACGCGCAGGGTGCGCGCATCTCTCGGCCAATCAGGAGCCACAGGGCCGGGCCGTGGAAAGGCTGCGGCCGCCCCAGAAGTCTGGAAGGCGTGGGAAAAAGTCGCCAGTCAGAAGTCCAGAAAGAGAAAGTTCGCCTCTGCCAGCCAATCAGAGGCGGGGGAGCGCGGTGCGTGTGCGCGCCCGCGCGCGCACTCGGGCCAATCCCGGGCGAGAACGGGCAGGCCTCCCGGTCTCCTCGGACCGTGCGGCGGAGAGGGCGGGCCCCTCGGCGTCTCGGCCAATCAGACGGCGCGGCGGGGCGCAGGCGCGCGGCGGCCGACGCGCGCGGCGAGGGGGAGGTGTGGGCGCGTCCCCGGCCCAAGATTTATAAAGGCGAGGTCTGGACCTACACGCGCGCTCTCGTCGCTTTGGCTGTCCCGGCGGCTCCAACCTAACCGCCCCGCCCGCTGCCGACGTCCGACATGCTGAGCCGTTCTCTGCTGTGCCTGGCCCTGGCCTGGGTGGCCAGGGTGGGCGCAGACGCCCCGGAGGAGGAGGACAACGTCCTGGTGCTGAAGAAGAGCAACTTCGCAGAGGCGCTGGCGGCGCACAACTACCTGCTGGTGGAGTTCTGTGAGTGAGCCGCGGGCCCGGGCGGGCAGGGCCCCTGGTCCACGGACCGCAGCTCAGGGCCGCACTCGGCGGCACCCAGCGCTGCCCGGTGCGGTGGCCCGTAGTTCCCGGCTTGTCCCAGGGAGCACAGGCTGGCGGGTTCCGGACTGGACCTCGCTGGGAGCACCTACTGTCAGCTTCTCTGCTTCCAAGCCTTCCAGAGAGCATCCTTCCCACCCAAAGTGGAAATCGTTGTGTTCAGGGCTCTTGGAAGGTGGCTGAGTGGCTTAGGATCAGGAAGGTGTCTGTGCCCGACGTCTGCATGGCCCGATCCGTCTGTTAGCTGGGAAGAACAGGATGGGCTGTGTGAGCAGTAGCAATGCCGATAGAACAGGTCCAGCCCTGTTTACTATGCCCACCCTCCGTGTAGCTTGCCCTCGCCTCCTCACTGGGAAGTAGGCCAGGTCCTAAGCCTTACTTCTCTTTACAAGTGTGTGAACTCCAGCACAGCTGCCAGGCTGCTTTGACAGATTGTCACGTTCCCACACTAGAAAGAGTAGATTCTGATAGGCATCTGGGCTAGTTCTTGCTAGGGATAGTGCTGGGCCAGCAACCTTTTAACCTTCCCTGCATTCTTAGTGGGGAATCCGAGGGATACATTGACCCTGATTACTGGAGACAATGGGACGTTACAAGTCAGGATTATTTTGCCGTGTTGGTGGTCACAGGGCAAAGTAGGGGTTGGAGTTGTCACTCATGGCCTCTGTCCTGATATTGCCCAAGAGCACCAGCTATCAGCTCAGTCTCGTGTCTGCGTTAAGAGGGGTTATCTTGGTCTGCTGATAAGGTTTTTATGAAAGGGAGGTACAAAGTAGAAAGGGGAGCAATAGACCTGGGTCAAGGACCGCCTTCCAGTGACCTGCTTCCTTCTCAGATGCCCCATGGTGTGGCCACTGCAAAGCCCTGGCCCCTGAGTATGCCAAAGCTGCCGCGAAACTGAAGGCGGAAGGTTCTGAGATTCGACTAGCGAAGGTGGATGCCACGGAAGAGTCTGACCTGGCTCAGCAGTATGGCGTCCGTGGCTACCCTACAATCAAGTTCTTCAAGAATGGAGACACAGCCTCCCCCAAGGAATACACAGGTGTGACCCTAGCGCTGCCCTCCAATGACTGTGTAGGCTTGGGGAGCTAAGCCAGAAGTGTGTCTTAGTGGCTGGGAACCTTCGCAGAGGCTTGGGAGCCCCAGAAGTGTGCCTTAGTGGCCGGGAACCTTTGCAGAGGTTTGGGGGGACCCTGTTGGCATCTGAGGACCATGGGAAGAAAGTTCCCTTTTTGGAGTACCTGACAGGAAGAGTGTCACATCTGTGATGACCCCAGAGTGGCATGTTGGCTGAGGCTTATCTTAGGATTGACCAATTAGGGGAGGGAGGCGACTGCCTCTCTGAATGCACGGGGCTTTGGGCTATTGGTCCTCACAGAAAATAGTGCTTCCAGATAGTGTAGGCGTGGCACTCCGGCTGCTTCATAGGCATCGCTCACAGTGTGTGCCAATACCTGGCCAAGCATTCGCTGCACTTCCCTTTGGAACCCTTTCACAGCCTCAACATCCGAGTCGTTGGTGACAGCCTGCAAATCGAAGCTTCCAGTTGTCACCCAGCCACTGCTAAAGCTATTTTCATAGCGGCTGGGCCTTCACATAGGCAATTCATTAGTTACTGCCCGCAGAAGACGACTTGGGTCTCCAAAGCCAGTTTCCTGAAATAGCCACTCAAAGCCATGTGCTGGGTGGCGTGAAAGCAACTTACCCTGTGCTGTAAAATCCTTTGAGCAGCCTTGTACTGGTCAGTGTCAGCCGCTCTGGTCACTTTCCTCGGCTGTCTGTGGTCTCTACTTTTTACGTGAGTTCACTGTCGGGGTAGTAAGTTCGTGGTCCAGAACTTTGCTCATGCCTGTGGCCGGCGCCTGGGAAGCAGAGGCAGGACTGTCTCGCAAGTTTGAGGCCAGTCTAGTTTGGGTGCCAAGCCATCCAGATCTGCAGAGTAAGACCCCACCTGAAAAGTACGCAGTTCAGTTGGGAGAGTTCTTGCGTGGTGTGTATGAAGACCTGGATACAGTCCCCACCCCTGAATAAACTGGGCATGGCGACATTTTATTGTGTGTGCGTGCACAGGCTCCAGAAACACTGTTTATTGTATCTTGTGCATTCTGTGTTGGATTCTTGGAACTGGAGTTACAGGCGGTTGTGGGCCACCCATTGTGGGTACTGACAACCATACACAGGTCCTCTTGAAGAGCAGCAAATGTTCTTTTTTGTTTTGTTTTTTGAGACACGGTTTCTTAGTTTAGCACTGGCTGTCCTGGAACACAGAGATCTGGGATCCCAAATGCTGGGTTTAAAGGCGTGAGCCACTACACCTGGCTTCAGCAAGTGTTCTTAACAATTGAGTCATCTCTCCAGCCCCCACAAACAAAATTTAAAGAAAAAAACATTTTTGTTTTTAGCCAGGTAGTAGTGGAACACCCAGAGTCATGGTAGATCCAATGTGCAGACCAGCCTTAATTAGTCCAAGTGACCAGTCCAGGAGGAGAGCATCACCTGTCAGCCTCTACCTCAAGGAAGAAGCAGGCCTTCTCTCTCCTCACTGTGTCAGTCAAGCACTCCATATCTTTCCAGTTCTTACCCATCTGAGAATTGGGTAGGGCCAGACAGAAACTCCTGGCCCACCCAGGTGTTGGGGTCAAGTTGAGCCTGTTTTAGGGTGGCAGAGCTTGCACTGGGGTTGACTAACCACATCTCCAGGGTGTAACCCGGTGTGGAGCAGTGGAGCGGAAACTGAGTGGAAGGAACTCTGGCACTTCAGGAAATTTGGAAAATGCAAGCAGACTGGGGAGAAGCAGCTAGTGGGCAAGCCCTGCTTTCCAGATGTGCACACTCCTTTCTTGACAGGCACGGCAGTAGCTTCTGGAATTCAGAGGCTGCGGCCAGTGTTCTGTAGGAGAGCGTCTTGTTCTAGGAATGGGCTGGCCTGTCTTGAGCCTACTGGGCACAGCTCAGAAGAGATGACCCGGTAGGGTGGGCGATACCCTGTCTCACAAGAACTTGCATTTGTTTGGGGCGCAGCTGGCAGGGAAGCTGACGACATTGTGAACTGGCTAAAGAAGCGAACAGGCCCTGCTGCCACAACCCTGTCTGACACTGCGGCTGCGGAGTCCTTGGTGGACTCCAGCGAGGTGGCCGTCATCGGTTTCTTCAAGGTAGAGCTTGCAGAGGGACCTTACAGAGGGAGGATCCTGGCGCTTGGGTGGGCACTCCGCTGCTGCTCCTCAGGAGCTCTGCTCAGAGTTGGGTGTGTGGTCACCTCTGCTTCCCTTCCTCTTCCAGGACGTAGAGTCAGACTCTGCCAAGCAGTTCTTGCTGGCAGCCGAGGCTGTGGATGACATACCTTTCGGAATCACGTCCAACAGTGGTGTGTTCTCCAAGTACCAACTGGGCAAGGATGGAGTGGTCCTCTTTAAGAAGGTGAGTCACCTTGGGCAGCTGTGCCTGGGCAGTTCAGGTGTTGGTCTGCAGGGGGTGGTGTTGCCTGCTTATGTTGGGAAGGACCAAGCTGGCTGATGGGATGGATAGCGATCAAGGGTCTCTGATGCTTCTTGTTGGAGTTAGACTGTGGCAGCCACTTCATACTGTGGCCTCTGGACCAGCTTCCTGTGACAGCCAACACACTAGGCCTCCTGAACAACATAAGGGGTGATTATGGCGAGATGTGACCAAGGTGACTGTTGGAGCCATTTACTCTCCCTCCCTCTCTTTTCCGGTCTTCCCTCTCTTTAAGATAGGGTCTTACCTGTAGCGCTGGCTGACCCGAAACTCGTATAGCCAGGTGGTCTGTAACTCATGGCAGCTCTCCTGACTCCATCTCTCAAGTGTTGAAACTATAGATCTGGTCTGAACCAGGTACCTGACCTGAAAAATCTTTTTTGTTTGTTTTTCGACACAGAGTTTCTCTGTGTAACAATTCTGGCTGTTCTGGCACTCATATTGTAGACCAGGCTAGTCTCAAGCAGATCTGCCTCCTTTGTGCTGCCTCCCAAGTGCTGGGATTAAAGGCCTGCACCACCCAGCTTAAAGATCTTTTTTTTTTTTTGTTTTTTTTGAGACAGTTTCTCTGTGGTTTTGGAGCCTGTCCTGGAACTTAGCTTTTGTAGATCAGGCTGGTCTCGAACTCACGGAGATCTGCCTGCCTCTGCCTCCCAAGTGCTGGGATTTAAGGCGTGCGCCACCACCGCCCGGCTTTAAAGATCATTTTTAAAATTTTAAAATTTATTTTTAATTTTATGTGCATTTGCCAGTATGTATGTCTGAGGGTGTTTGAGCCATCCACTGGGACTGGAGCTTTAGACAAGTGTGAACTGTGTGTGTGTGTGTTTTTTTTTTGTTTTGTTTTTTGTTTTTTCGAGACAGGGTTTCTCTGTGGCTTTGGAGCCTGTCCTGGAACTAGCTCTGTAGACCAGGCTGGTCTCGAACTCACAGAGATCCGCCTGCCTCTGCCCGAGTGCTGGGATTAAAGGCGTGCATCACCATCGCCCAGCGGTGTGAACTGTGTGGGTGCTGGGAATTGAGCTCAGGTCCTCTGGAAGAGCAGCCAGTGCTCTTAACCTCTGAGCCATCTCTCCAGCCCTAAAGATCATTGTTAAGTTCCCAGTCTAGTGACTTTAATTATATCCATGGTACCAAGGAACCTATTGTCGGGACTTTTTCCTCAGCCTAGACAAGAGCTCTGGAGCCTTGGCTATGGATCCATGACCCCTGTATCCTGGCCCCACCCCTGGCAGACCTCCCACTTGAACACCTTCAGATCCTAATCCTGTTGTCAGTTTTTCTGTAGACACCAAGTGTCGTTGCCACGTCTTCCCGTTACAGGGATGCAGCAGACTCTGATCTTTGTCTTACCTGAGAGTCGGGGTGCTGTCTGGGCACCCATACTTTTGCAGCCTAGCTGTACCAAGATGGGGGTGGTGAGAAGCTCATGTCACTCGGGTAGAAGGTGTACCAGGGAGAGAAAATTCTGAGAGGAAATATCTAGGGAGTGGGGAGACAGGAGCTGGTCCTCATGGACTGGAGAATAAAACCCTGGAGTGCTGTCCCCTGTGGGAGGAATGGCACAGAGGGGAAAAAAATACTCTGGGGGTCTGGAGAGATGACTCAGCAGTTGAGAGTACTGGCTGCTGTTCCCGAGGAGTCCAGGTCAATGGTCAATTCCCAGCACCTACATGGCAGCTCATTGACTGTCCGTGACTCCAGTTCCAGGGGGGTCTAACACCCTCACATTCATGCATATAAAATAAAATCAGATTAAAAAATTTTTTTGAAGCCGGGCGGTGGTGGTGCACGCCTTTAATCCCAGCACTCGGGAGGCAGAGGCAGGTGGATCTCTGTGAGTTCGAGGCCAGCCTGGTCTACAAGAGCTAGTTCCAGGATAGGCACCAAAGCTACAGAGAAACCCTATCTCGAAAAACAAACAAACAAACAAAAAAAGAAAAAAAATTTTTTTGAAAAAAAAAAAAAAGAATGATAGCCTGTTCAGGAAAGATGAGCCTAGATGAGAGGGTCCTCTTGGTTTTTAACCATGTTGCTGTGTTTCCTGTCTCTGAAAGGGTTTCACCAGTTTGCAGGTGAAGGCATTTGAAGGTAAAGAACAGATGAGAGCTGTCCTGAGGGCTGGACATTGAGACAGCCACGAACTCGCGTCCCTCAGCTTATCAATCAGTGCTTTTGTCAGCCTCTTCTCTAGCCCTTCGTGGAGACCGTCACCTGGCTGCTACCCTTGCCCACTAGAAGACTTAGGGAGAGAAGAGCTGCTCAATTCCTGGTTGTCTTGGTAGATTTGCCCAGGAGATTTTAATTAAGTGCCTGATTCGAGAAGTGAGAAAGTGCTGGGTGAAGTTTTGATAGGACAAAAGCTCTTTCAGATGTTTTAAAATTTCATCCAAAGCCCACCTTTCATGGTGCACACCTTTAATCCCAGCACTCTGGAGGCAGAAGCAGGCAGATCTCTTGAGTTTGAGGCCAGCCTGATCTACAGAATGAGTTTCATAGCAGCCAGGGCTGTTACACAGATTTTTTTTTTTTTTAAAGATTTATTTATTATGTATGCAGTGCCTGCGTGTATGTCTGCACACCAGAAGAGGGCACCAAATCTTATAGATGGTTGTGAGCCACCATGTGGTTGCTGGGAATTGAACTCAGGACCTCTGGAAGAACAGCCAGTGCTCTTAACCACTGAGCCATCTCTCCAGCCCTTGATTCCCCTACACACACACACACACACACACACACACACACACACACACACACACACACGTGCAGGGTGTCCAGACTTGTTTTGAACTGTGTAGTCGAGGCTGCCCTTGAGTTCCTGATCTCTAGTGTATTCCAACACACTCAGTGATTTGGTTTTGTTTTAGGTTTTTTTCGTTTGCTTGCTTGTTTTGAGTTAATAGACTCACTCTGTTGCCCAGGCTGGCTTCCTACTGTTCTACTGGATTTTCCTGTCTGCCCCAGGGAACTGTCTGAGACAGACTAGTAAGGGCAGATAGTTCCCAGTGAGGCCAGGCCAGCCAGCTACATCTGGATGAGGCCCGCTACTGCTCACTTTCTGTCTTGCTTTGAAGACATGTAGCCTAGACTGAAGAGAGACCTGGGACCAGGGAAGGCTGCCAGAGCCACTGGTGTGGTATAGTGTCTGTCATGACCTGGTGGGGCTGCTGTTTACAGCAGGGACAGCGCTGTAGTGGTATTGAAGGGAGCTGTTTTACCATAGTAGACTGAAGCAATTGTGTGACCTCACTGCCAAGAAGACAGCAGCCCAGCCCAGGTAGTCAGTTTTTCTTGCAACCCTCAGTGGGAGGTGGTGGAGTGAATGGTTCTGCGCAGGAGGAGCCTTGTTGGTAATGGTGACTCCGCATCACACCTGGAGAGTCTGCTGGAGCCTTAGCCAGCTCAGTGTCCCCTCCATGCGGCTGGTGTGGGCACGACAGCATGGACACCTGTACCCTGTGGGCTCCGGTGGAGAGTAAAGACTAGTCCGCTCACCTAGTTTCCTCAGTCCTGCCCCGACTACCTGCTCCTCCTTTATCTTCTTGGTTTTTTAGGTTTTTCATTATGTGGGTATTTACATGTCAGCTGTACGGGTGTGTGCATACAAGTACAGAAGGGAGGGCTCTGGATCCCTTAGAACTGGAGTTACAGGCAGCTGTGAACCGACGGATGTGGGTCCTGGAGTGTCGCAATGCTCCTGAAAGAGTAGTGTGTGCTCCTAGCCACTGAGCCGTCTCTCCAGCCCCCACCTCTTTTTTTTTTTTGTTGTTGTTGTTGTTTTTTCGAGACAGGATTTCTCTGTGGCTTTGGATCCTGTCCAGGAACTAGCTCTGTAGACCAGGCTGGTCTTGAACTCACAGAGATCCGCCTGCCTCTGCCTCCTGAGTGCTGAGATTAAAGGCGTGTGCCAGCCCCCCACCTCTTCTTGAAGTTACTTTGAGGACTAGAGTAGAAGGTGGCCAGTAAGAAAAGATGGGTAGTCAGCCCACCACATCCTTGGATCCAACTGTCTTGGCTCAGAGTGTTGGGAATAAGCTGGACATGGTGGCACAGTCTGTAATCCCAGCACTCAGCATGCTGGGGCAGGAGGATCACAAGTTTGAGGTTAGCCTGGAGCACAGGATAAACCCTGTCTCAAGAAACAAACAAAAAAAACAAATAAAAAAAAACTGGTAGGGTTTTTGTTGTTTATTTTTGTTATTTTTTTGAGACAGGGTTTCTCTGTGTAGCACTGGCTGTCCTGGAACTTACTCTGTAGACCAGGCTGGCCTCGAACTCACAGAGATCCCCCTGCCTCTGCTAACCTAGTGCTGGGATTAAAGGCATGCACCACCACAACCATCTGTAGGACTTCAATCCCACCACTGGAGTTGAGACCAGCCTCATCTTTGTAAGAGGTTCCAGGTCAGCCAAGGCTACAAATTATACAAAGAGTTATAACTGTATCTAACATGAATAGGCTTTTTCCTCCTTTGTCATTGCCTAAACAATACAGTGTAACAACAAACCATAGAGTATTTACATTGTTAAGAATTACATCATCAGTCAGGCAATGGTGGCACCAGCAGTCAATCCCAACACTTAGGAGGCAGAGGTAGGCGGATCTTTGATCTCTTGAGCTTGGGGCCACTCTGGTTTACAGAGTGAGCTCCAGGGCAGCCAGAGCTACACAAAGAAACCCTGCCTTTAAAAAAAAAAAAAAAATGTGTCATCTACCAGGCTTTAGTCCTAGTACTCCAGAGGCAGAGGCAGCTGGATCTCTGAGCTTGAGGCAAGCCTGGTGATCATAGTAAATTTAAATTCTAGAACAGCCAGGCTGTCCAAAACACTGTCTCAGACAAACCAAAAGTCATCTAGAGAGGATATAGACAGATCACAGGTGCTGTGATCTTTTCCATAAGGGACTTGGCATGTGGATTTTGGATGGGAGGAGTTGAGGAACACCATGTGCCCACACAGATACTAAAGGGCGGGTGGGCGTGACTTATTCCCAGAACCTCACATCAGAGGTCTCAGAGCAGTGATGGACTCGTGGGATTTTCACTTGAAAAGTTTTAAGAAAGCGTTTTCTCCGCGGAACTTGTTTCTTGTCCACTCCGTATGTGAAGCTGTGGCTTGGATGGTCTAAGCTGTCCCGTCCCGAAGCTATGGAGGTGGAGCACTGTTTCTGCTTTGTGACCTCAGAATGCCTTAATCTGGTGGTGCTGATGGTTAAGGATCCCAAGAGCTTGTATGTGCGGATTCCATTTGTCATTCGTATTATGTTAGAGCCAGGTGTCCCACACCTGTAGTCCAACACTCTGGAGGCTAAGGCGTGAGAATTGGTGAGGGTGCTAGGCCAGCTGGTGCTTTGTGAAGAGACTCTGTCTCCAAACAAGAGATAGGTAGACCTAAGGTGTTACTGGGAATGAAGGTGTGGAGTGGGTTTTTCTTTTTACAGTAGAGCTTGTGATGTGTGGCTGTCTATCTGCTGCAGAGGCTGGGCTGGGAAATCATCTGGCAGCACAGGGAGACACCTGTCTCACGTCAGTCACCATAGGCTATCGATAAGTTCATTCTGTTATCAGGTATAGCATTCATGCGAAACTTTAATTTCCATGTCGGGTCGGTTCAGAGACTAAGTGATGTTTGTGTTCACCAGCTCTTCCCATATCTGGTGTGTATATCCCATATTGGGAGGTAGCTGAGTTCTTTCTGTTCCTTCAGTCTGTTCTGGACACATCCTCCAAGCCCCTTACCCCTTGCTGCAGACTAGGAACACCATGGAAGATGGGTACCAGTAAGTGTGGCTGAGGTGGGAGGATTGGGAGCTTGGGCTGCAGAGCCTCTCGAGAGCAGCTGTGAGTCACTATGGGCGCAGAGATGGCTCAGCACACAGATGTTTCCTCCAAAGCCTGATGACCCAGGTCTAATCCCCCAGTACCTGCCTACATGGTGGACGGACAGACTGACACCGCCAGCTGCCCTCTGACTTCCAACTTGTGTGTATGCACCACGCCTCAAAAAATGCATTAATTTTTTTTTTTTAGATTTACTCATTTAATGTGTATGGATTATTTGCTTACATTTATGTTTATCCGCCACCATGTATGTGCCTGGTGCTTTGGAGGCCAGAAGAGGGCAGTGTTCCCTGGAATTGGAGTTAGAGTCAGTTGTGAGCTGCCATGGCAATTCTAGGAACTGAACTCGGCTCCTCTGGAACAACAGCCAGTGCTTTTATCCATGGAGTCATCTCTCCAGCCAGCATTTGTTTTTCTGCAAAGTAGCTTTATCTAGTAGATGTCCTAGAAGGTCTGGTTTCCTCTCTCACCAGTGTAGTCCCACTCCCGCTCATCCCTAGGAGGATCGTGTTTTGTGGGCCACTGTTTCTGAAACACAAGTGGTTGTTTTCTCAGCTCTGTGTTCTGTGGAGATGCTATCTCTGTAGTGATGCCTGCTGCCCTGGCCTGCAGAGGCGGCACTAACTCATGCCTGTGCCGTTCAGTCAAAGCGGAAGGACCATGAGGTGTGAACATGCCGGCCGTTTGTGGGCTGTCGCTGGGTCCGGTGGTGACTGTGTTCAGTTTAGGCCGTCGGGTACAGTTATTGTCTGTCCTTTGAGGCTGGCTGACCACAGCAAAGCTCACAGCCCCTTTTCTGTCCGTAGTTTGATGAAGGCCGCAACAACTTTGAGGGTGAGATCACCAAGGAGAAGCTGCTAGACTTCATCAAGCACAATCAGCTGCCTTTGGTCATCGAGTTCACTGAACAGGTGAGGCCTCTCTGGAGGAACCCCTGGGAGAATGGTCTGAGAACAGCTCATGGCTCAAACCTAGTAATTGTTGCTTGTCCCACAGACAGCCCCAAAGATTTTTGGAGGTGAAATCAAGACCCACATTCTGCTGTTCCTGCCCAAGAGTGTGTCTGACTATGACGGCAAGCTGGGCAACTTCAAGAAGGCAGCTGAAGGCTTCAAGGGCAAGGTGAGCCACCTCAGGACGTGGGCTGCTTTTCCAGGTGCTAAGAGGCCTGCCTAGTCTCCTGCAGTACTACCCATTTGCCCATTAGGGTCTGCACCATGTGGGTCCACTGGCCTAGCCCTGTTACCCTGGTGAGGCAGCCCCAGACTCACGGTGTACAAAGCCAGTTCAGGGGTGAGCATGTGTCCAGGTTCCATCTGAATATGCCTTTTCTCCCCCAAGATCCTGTTTATCTTCATCGACAGTGACCACACTGACAACCAGCGCATCCTTGAGTTCTTTGGCCTGAAGAAGGAGGAGTGTCCCGCTGTGCGGCTTATTACCCTGGAGGAAGAGATGACCAAGTACAAACCAGAGTCGGATGAGCTGACAGCTGAGAAGATCACAGAATTTTGCCACCACTTCCTGGAGGGCAAAATCAAGGTGTGGAATTGAGCCTGGGCTGTGGTGACACAGCTGACCTTGCAGGATAGCCTCTGCCTCTGGGATCTAGTGTCATGTGCTTCCTGCAGTGCTGCCTTCAAAGTATGAAGACATTAGCATACATTCCTAGAGCCTGTGATGGTCATGTGCCCTAGGATAAATCCCTCCTCATGTGCTAGCCTAGCCACGTGAGCTTCAAGCACCAGGACACATCTGTATTTCAGTTGATCTACCTGGAGACTCTCACCAGATTGCCGGCAGCATTGGCGCTGATGGTTTCTGGGGGACAGCATGGGTCTCAGCTATCCAGGGTTGGGGACTGGGGCAGAGCTGTGCCTGACTGTACTCTCTCTCCCTCTAGCCTCACCTGATGAGCCAGGAACTGCCAGAAGACTGGGACAAACAGCCAGTCAAAGTGCTTGTTGGGAAGAACTTTGAAGAAGTTGCTTTTGATGAGAAGAAGAATGTCTTTGTTGAATTCTGTAAGTGAGGGCTCTGGGGGGCTTACAGATTAGAGAACACATTGTGAACACTGGTGGGTGGCTCTGTCCGCCGTGGCCCTCCAGCACTGCTCTCTTTCAGATGCTCCTTGGTGTGGTCACTGCAAGCAGCTAGCCCCCATTTGGGATAAACTGGGAGAAACCTACAAGGACCATGAGAATATCGTCATTGCTAAGATGGACTCAACAGCCAATGAGGTGGAAGCCGTCAAAGTGCACAGCTTTCCCACCCTCAAGTTCTTCCCAGCCAGTGCAGACAGAACGGTACGCTTCCCACCAGGCCTCAGCTGGGCCGTTGGGCAGGCAGGTCCTCAGAAGCTGCTGTCTGGGGTGGGCCCGGTTCTCTCATTCCTACCCTCTTCTCATTTCCTACAGGTCATTGATTATAACGGTGAGAGGACACTAGACGGTTTCAAGAAATTCCTGGAGAGTGGTGGCCAGGACGGTGCAGGAGACGACGATGTGAGTGTGGTCAGCTCTGGGTCCTTGTGGGAGGTGCCAGCTCAGGCTTTGCCTTGGAGGCTTCGGTGGTCACGTGCCTGGCACAGCTGTGTGTATCCTGGGCCCAGGGACTTAGACTTTGTCTTTGGTGTAAAGGAAATGCTCCATTTGCACCACTTAGACAGCATTTAAAACGTAGAGGGGTTGGTTTTGGTGTCCTGTTTGTTTTCTCTGTGTTGCCCTGACTGCCCTGGAACTTGCTCTGTAGACCAGGCTGGCCTTGAACTCACACAGAGATCTGCCTGTCTTTGCCTTCTCTGTGCTAGAATTTAAGATGTGTACCACCACCACTTAGCCAAAGTAGAGATCTTAGAGGTACCTTTCAAAATGGTCCTACAGGGTTCTCAGTCCCACTTCCGTGGACTTGAACTGGCTAGGTCTGTGTTTGCTCTACGGGTACTACACACTTGTTAGTTCCTGTGGGGATTCTCTGGCCCTAGGCTGGAGACTGGGTTCCCAGGAGCTCTATACTTTCCAGATCAGTTTATGGCCAGCAGCTTGATGTTGCTAATTTGGGGGAAGCAGAGGGCAGGTCAGGATTTGGTAGGGTGGAACTTGAGGAGGCATGAGCGTGTGTCCTTGAGGGGCTGGTGCAGCAGGAAGCGGTGTACAAAGGAGCTGTAGAGTAGAAGACAACACAGAGCCTGGGGAAGTGGCCAGCAGGCAGTGCTTGGCCTCGTGCTGGAGCTGTTGTCCCGCAGGTTTACGATTTTGCAGGTTCCTAGAACCATGCCCAGTTGGAGGTTATGGCGGCTTAGCTGGGCTTCCTGGCTCTGGAAGCCGTGCTGTGTCTTGCCTTATGCTGAAGCCTCGTGCATCCCAATACTCAGTCCTTCACCCAGAGCCACTGCTGGGGGTGGGGGGGGGGTCCACTACGGCGGTGGTGCTCTAACTGGGATTTCTTCCTCCATCCAGGACGTGGACCTAGAAGAGGCTTTGGAGCCCGACATGGAGGAGGACGACGATCAGAAAGCCGTGAAGGACGAACTGTAGTGGGGGAGCAGACCTCGGGGGCCGTGCTCCCCGCAGCCCACATCTCCGGAGCCTGAGCCTCACCTAAGGAGGGAGTGCCATCAGAACCCAGGGAGTCTTTCTGAAGCCACACCCATCCAACACACGTGCACCTAAACCTGTCTCTTTTGCTTTTAAATTTTGAAAGGGATCTCTCTCCAGGCCAGCCCATCTTAAAGAGCTATCTTTTGGTGTGTTTTTGTTTATTTGTTTGTTTTGATTTTTTTTTAATTGTGATGTATTTTTTTATATGTGGATTTTTGTCCCAAGTGCTCACTAAAATATTTGGGGATCTCACACTGGTAATATCCTTCCTGTTAGAGAGGTTTATGCTGCCGCTTCAAATGTCATCTTTCACCTGTTCACCGTGGAAGGCCTCCCTGAGACTCCTGCCCTCTGTGGGAGCGATGGACCTGGGTGGACACAGTCACTCTCCGCCTACCTTGCACTAGTGTTGCCGTGGCAGCATGGCTTTTGTAGATTTCAGTTAACCATGGGACTTACGCATCCTGTCAGAGGGTGGGTCCCTCACGTGTGGAAGAGACGGTGTGGCTGGCTGCTGGGCCCAGGCCAGGCCTGGACGGCCTTCACTCTTCAAGTCAGGACTACCCCCAGCCGGCTGTGGGCACATCACTCTGGCTGCTGGATTTGCCTCCAGCACGGCTGTGGCCTGTGTGAGGCAGAACTGGGACCCTTGATTCCCAGACTGGGAGTCAGCCAAGGACTCTGGGACTGAATCAAACGCCCATTCTTGAGGCATTTCTACCATAATATTGGAATTGAACACATTGGCTAAATAAAGTTGAAATTTTACTACCCATTGTCACCTCTGCTTTCTGTCTCCGAGCCAAGGGAACTGAGCTGAAATCCTCCCAGGAGGGATAGTGAGCTTGTTGGGGTCCCTTGGTCAAGAGGACACCACTACCCCCACTGTCGGCAGAAATGATGGATAACTGCTCACCACACAGGCTATTTGACTCGAGTGCTTCCTCCCTTTGTCTAAGATCAGTACAGTGGCCCCATCACAACCCTGGAGGTAGGCATTATGGACAGGTGATGCTATTGATGGGTGCTGGGTCACTGTAGGACCTACAGTTATCCTCTGCCGTGCATCATGCATGCCTGCATGCACATACGTCATACACAATAACCTCTCTGTGTAGCACTGGCAGTCTTGGAACTCACTCTGTAGACCAAGCTGGCCTCAGACTCACAGAGATCCGCTTGCTTCTGCCTCCCGAGTGCTGGGGAATGCTGGGATTAAAGGCATGCCCCACCACAGCCTAGCCACAATAACTTTAAACTCCGGATTGAAGCAGGTGTGCAGAGACTGGGCATGCAGCTCTCCAAGTAAAGAAAAGTCTGGTAATCTGGGTAGAAGTGGCACACCTTTTATCCTTGTGCTCGGGAGGCAGAGGCAGGCAGATCTCTTGAGTTTGAGGCCAGCCTGGTCTACAGAGTGAGTTGGCAGAAATGTCTACACACAGGAATTCTGTCTCAAAAAAAAAAAAAAGCAATTAAAGAGACATTTCTGGGACTGGATGCAGCTCAGTTGGTAGGGTTCTTGCCTAACATGCATCAGGCTTTAGGTTTGAGGTTTGATCCACAGCGTGTCTGCTGTCCTGGCTTGGGATGTGGGGGCAGTAAGACCAGAAGTTCAAGGTTATTCTCGTCTATATCCTGAAGTTTTGGGGACCCCTGGCCTACATGAAAGCCTATGTTTTACCAGGATGGTGGAGCATGTTTGTAATCTTAGTGCTTAGGAAGTGTAGGCAGGAAAAACAGGAATTCCAGGTCATCCTTGTCTGTACAAATTCACAGATTATGATACTTGATGCCCTCTTCTGGCCTCTCAGGGTACCCTCCCCACATAAATTAAAATGTTTCAAAAGCAAGAGCTAGCAATACAGCTTAGTGCGTAACGTTACCTACCTCCAAGCCTATCTCAAGACATTTCTGCTGGACGTGGTAGAGTGTGTGTGTGTGTGTGTATGTGTGTGTGTGCTCACAGACAATCACATGAGTAACTGGGGAACACCTTCAGGTTCTCTGCAGCAGCAGCAGTGCTCTTCACTGTTGAGTTCTCTCCAGCTTTGGATGCACTTTGAGAACCAGTGCTGGTAAGGCTGAAGCAGGAGAACTGGGGTCGGAGGCCTTAACAAAACAGCCTGGGGATGCTGGGGATGGTGGTGCACATCTTTAATCCCAGCACCTAGGCAAAGGCAGGCGGATCTGTGACTTCGAGGCCAGTGTGGCTTTCATAGTAAGTTCTAGACATTGTAAGACTCTGTCTCAAAAGAAAGAAGGGGTGGGGGAGGCAAGGCATGGTGGTGCATACCTGTAATCCTAGCACTTGAAGAGAAAGTAAAAAGACCATCTTCAGCTACACAAGGAGTCCAGAGACAGCCTGAGCTACATGAGATTATAAAAAAATAAAATAAAAGGAGCTGGAGAGATGGCTCAGTGGTTAAGAGCACCGCCTGCTCTTCCAAAGGTCCTGAGTTCAATTCCCAGCAACCACATGGTGGCTCACAACCATCTGTAATGAGATCTGGTGCCCTCTTCTGGCCTGCAGGCATACATGCATACAGAATATTGTATACATAATAAATAAATATTTAAAAATAAATAAAAAATTAGTTTAACTTGAAGACTTAGTTCAACAGTCTGGGGTTCAATGGTTAAGAGCCAGAAAAATAAAAATAAATACACACACAAGCACATACACTTAGGGCTGAAGAGATGGTTTAGCAGTTAAGAGAGCTTCTGACATCTGCACACTGACATACATGCAGACAAAACACCAGTGAACACAGAATAAATTTAAGCCAAGTGGTGGTGGCATACTCCTGTAATCCCAGCACTCAGAAGGCAGAGACAGGTGGATTTCACATGCAATGGGGATCATGATACTCCTGAGGTTGACTTTCCCAAACTTCCCTTCTGATATGGACACCTTTGGGAGCACCGAGGTGCCCTAGAGTCTCAGGACTGGAGTAGAGGCACACAGGGCCAAAGGGTCACAGGACTCAGGGTGGTCACAGGGGCCCTGAGGTAAAGCTGCAAGCTGCCTGAGGTCAGACAGACAGACACCCTCACCTGTATTTTTTTGTTTGTTTGTTTGTTTGAGACAGGGTTTCTCTGTGGTTTTGGAGCCTGTCCTGGAACTAGCTCTTGTAGACCAGGCTGGTCTCGAACTCACAGAGATCCGCCTGCCTCTGCCTCCCGAGTGCTGGGATTAAAGGCATGCGCCACCACCGCCCAGCACCTGTATTCTTACTACATGCACACTGAAGATATCCAGACCAAGACATTGTCTCAGCACCAAGGCTAGATATTCCCCTGCTGATAGCCATTGTGCCAGACCCAGCTCTTGGAGTGCACTGAAAGGCTTCCTGTATGATTCTCTCCCAGGTCTAGGGGTGTGGGTTGTGTCATTTCCTCCATGGCTGCCTTATCCCTCCATAAAAGCTCCTACAAACCCAGGGATGATCCTCGCTGGCTTGGCATACAAGCAGGGGAAGAGAACTCTGTCACCTCCTCAAGCAGGGCCAATTTCCCAGGTATCTGTCACTCTACAGTCTTCATTCTGACTCAGCAGTTAGGGCAGTTGTCCGCTTACGCTGCCTTCACTGGCTCTTGGTGACTCATCATAGGGCTGGTTTCCAGCTGCTTCTGCTCCAGAAGTTTCAGCAGGGGCCTGCTGGCACAACGGACCTTGGTCCCCTTAAAGTGTGTACTGTCACTGTGGAGTTTGACAGGGGAAGGTATAAATTTTGTCCTCAGAATGTGAGTCAAGGCTGTCAAGGGAATCCATGGGATTGGCTGGAGAGACGGGTCAGCGGTTAAGAGCACTGTCTGCTCTTCCAGAGGACCCAGGTTCAATTCCCAGCATCCATATGGCAGCTCACACCTGTCTGGAACTCCGGTTCCAGGGTTTCTGACATGCATTCACACAGACATGCATTCAGGCAAACATACCAATTAAAAAAAAAAAAGACACAGGACTTCGAGGGAAGAAAACCAGCAGGGCTGTGAGCAGACTGTTTCCAGTCCCAACTATAAAGGTATGCTGTACACCCCTCCCTTAGACAGACAGCGCACCACTGCCCAGCTGTGCAGGGACTTGGTCTCTGGGTAAGAAGGCTCAAATTGGGCAGCCAATGTCACGCGCTCCTGAGAGGAGTGTGACTCACAGATACCTTTCCCCTTTTTGCAGAGGCAGCTGATGGAGCATTCCAGAGCCAGACTGTGCAGGGCAGCTACAGGGTGGTGTCTAAAACCTCTATGGCTGGGATTGGTGGATTAGTCAAGCAACTGAGGCTCTTAGGGGAAATGGTGAAGGTTTAGCAGACTGGGATTTCCCAGTTCCCCCAAATACCCAGAAGCCAACAGCTTGGAATTTAACAACAACAACAAAACCAAAAGCACTTCCCTAAGGGGCTTCAGACCCTGAAGTTGAATTTTTGACTGACCAATTCTGAAGCCTATGCTGGATTACCTAGCACCGCACAGCCCCTGAGTACACGTCACTGCTGGTGACATTACCAGACTTTTTTTCTTTTTCTGGTTTGTTTCAGTTTAGACTTGTGCCACCCCTTCTGGCCTTGAACTCACTATGTAGCTCAGACTGGCTTCGGACTCATGGCAAACAATCTGCCTTAGCCCCCAGAGGTTGTGTTACTATGGCAAATTTGTGTCGAACTTTTCGTTGTTGCTGTTGTTGAGACAGTGTCTGGCTGTCTCGCTAGGCAATACTTTACCCCAGAACTATGTTCCCAGCTCTGGACTTTGATAAATTGGAATTGGGTATGGTAATACAAGCCTGAAATCCCAATGCTTAGGAGCTCAGGCAAGAGGAGTTTTTTGTTGTTGTTGTTGTTTTGTTTTGTTTTTGTTTTGAGACGGTGTTTCTCTGTGTAGTTCTAACTGTCCTGGAACTTGCTCTGTAAACCAAGCTGGCCTTGAACTCTGCCTCTAGTGTGTTGGGACTACTAAAGGTGTGTGCCATCACTGCCCTGCTGGCAAGAAGATTGAAAGTTTGAGGGGTATAAAATGCTGGAGGGCTGGATGGTGGCTCACACCTTTAATCTCAACACAGGCAGAGTCAGGTGGATCTCTGCAAGTTTGGGGCCAGCCTGGTCTACAAAGCAAGTTCCAGGAGAGGCTCTAAAGCTACAAAGAGAAACCCTGTCTTGAAAAACCAAAAAGGAAAAAGAAAAAATGTTGGAGGGAAACCTTTGAATATTTTTTTTTGAAGCTTGAACTTCCTCGTTCTGTTTCCCAAATGCAGGAAGGACAGAAATTGTCACCACTGCAGCTTTGTGTAAATGCTTTAGCCCATTCTTCAGAAAGTAGAAATTCTAAGATCACAGACTAGTAACCTTGTAAGTCCATACTGTCTGAGAGAATCAGGGACAGAGGTCGGTAATTCCAGGCTTTGTTCTAACATCAACCACCATAAGGGGCTTGAACAGCCCACCATGGCTCCTGTTGAAAGTTGAGGAATACCAGGCAAAGGCCTCAGCTCAGAACACACAATTCCCAGGAATACTGTCTGGAAGATTTGGGGGACTCCAACTCAAACAGAAACTCCGAACTCAAGAACCTCTGTGCTCCAAGTGGCCAAGGCTGCACATGCGAAGAGTACCCGGACCTTGTCTCATTGGAGGCAGGCATTCACTGACGGGTGGACGGGCGGGTCTGTGGATCCTCCCTGCTGCTCTGTGGGTGGCACCTTCACTCATATGCTTTCTTAAGATCCTCTGAGCTGGGAGCGCAGACGAAACTTTTCCACAACACACGAAGAGATAATCTTCACATACAAGCGGCGGGGTGAGGTGGGGTGTCTATCACCCAGCTACAGCGAAGAACGTTTAATTTCCCTGCTTTAGGGAAGCAAGTTAGAAGACATGGTGCCTGACTCCTCCTAAGAGACCAGAACTGAGCCCTGGAGATGCAGAGCCACAGAACCAACCGTAACAGATTCTCTCAGGACTGGGGTACACAAACTCAGGAAGTAGCCTCTGAGCACTGAGGGATGGTGGAAACACCCCTGCCAGGCAGGGAGCTCTCATTCAGTGTGTCCTCGGCTTTACACCTAAAGGGTGTGTAACATGTTGGCTTGGTGCTGGCTGGAAAGGAGCCAGGTGATGTAAGGTCAGCTGACTACATTGCCTTCCCAGCTCCCCAGTCTGTCAAGGAGCTACCCAGTTTCGGGCCTCCCGTGACCACCTAGTAGCTTGGGTTTCCCTGCTTCATGCCCTAGCTCCCAGCACTTTTGAGGGTGAGTTTCTTAGAAATAGGGTCATTTTTAGTAAAAATGGATAGGGTGAGGTCACACTGGAGTAGGGTGTACCCTAAGTCTTCGTAAGAACATCTATGGGCGGCGTCTTTATAAGAAGAAATCCGCGCCAGATATGATGGCACATGCCTATAATTCCAGCACTTTTTTTTTTTTTTGAGGAGGCTCAGAGAGGAGAATTATGAGTTGAAGGCTGGCCAACCTGGAAAACAACCACCTTTCCTAAAGGAAAAAAAAAAATTAATGGGGTCGCTCAGTGTGGTGGTGCACATCTGTAATCCCGGCACTTGGGAACTGACGGCAGGGGTGCTCAGGAGTTTGCCTGAGTCACAGTTCAAAAGGGAGTTCCCAGCCAGTGCCTCTGTCTGGAAAACAAACAAACAAGGTGGGGTTAGTTAGGACGTGGACACAGGAATAGAAAGAAGCCGTTAGAGATGAACGGGCAAATATTTTTAGAAGCCAAAGAACACCAAGGACTGGACTGACTTCCGGAGGCTGGGAAGCCTGGAGCAGAGGCTCCCTCAGAACCTCTGGAGTCCTCCCTGGTCTCAGGCTGCCGGGCTCAGGAACCACAAGAGCAAACGCTTGTTTTTCTAGGTTTATTTTTTGAGACAGGGTTTCTCTGTATCTTTGAAACCTGTCCTGGAACTCGCTCTGTAGACCAGGCTGGCCTCAAACTCACACAGATCCACCTGCCTCTGCTTCCCGAGTGCTGGGATTAAAGGGATGCACTACTACCATCCGGTGAGAGCAAACCCTTCTTTGAGAGTTGAGACCCGGGTCTGTGTGACTTGGTCACAGCAACCCTAACGGAGCCAACCGTTAGCTTTCAGGAAGTCAGGGAAAACTGTAGAGTCAGGTTATCCACAGCTCCGTAACCAAGTTTCAGGGCTCCTCTGGCCCAGCTGTATTCCTGCCTTCCATCTACCAGGTAGTCTCATGCCCCCAAGCAAAGCACCACCTGAGACCTTGGCTGAAGCTGTTGCAAAAGCAAGACAGAGTCTGCAGCAAACTAACGTGTGGGGTCCTTCCCTTTCTCCACCTGTAATGGGCACCACCTGGTCTCTTAGGAATGGACTGGATGACACCTTCAACATAGTCTCTAGGAGACTGTCCAGAACCCAGAGGCAGCGTGTGTGTGTGTGTGTGTGTGTGTGTGTGTGTGTGTGTGTGCTCAGGACTGGTAGTGTTGGCCTGCAGGACTGAGATCCCAGCCAGGGCAGCAGCAGTTCCTGTCAGTACGATACACCCCAAAGCGGTTCTGGGAATCTTTAGAAGCTACAAGGGAAGGTTAAGAGCGACATGTTGGGAAATGAACAGCGCTGAGACCTCCTAAATGACAATGGATCAGTGCTTTTCAGATAGCGATGGGGCTCAGCTTCCAGCAGGTAGACAGGTAAGCCATCCTTCAAGGTCGGCCCCTCCTGATGCCCCTGAGCCCACATCCACGGCTTTTCCTGTGGGCTCTCTCCTCGTCCTTCTCCTAGTCCTCTACAAGGCACCTTCTAGGTCCAGCTGCGGACAGGGTGTAGTAGCCAGGAAGGATCTGACCCCTTTGGCCGGACATAGCAACAGGTGTGCTGAAAGATGAGCCACTAAACATGATCCTGTGCTCCGGGAGGGGGGAGCAGCTCGGTTTCAGCCCCTCGCGTCTGCAAGCATGACTGAGCGGCTTTATATAGCCCCGCAAGCCCTATATAAGCTGGAATTGAGGTTCTGTCAAGCCAGAGAGCCTACACACCGATCTGGTCTGGCTGGCATACTTCCCATTCATACCTACTGAAGTAGGGGTCCCACAGAGATAGTCCACCCCAACCCCCGGGATGCCCAGCAGAACTGCCCGCTATGCTCGCTACAGCCCCAGACAGCGGCGGCGGCGGCTGTTGGCCGATCGCAGCGTGCGTTTCCCTAACGATGTTCTCTTCTTGGACCACATCCGTCAAGGCGACCTGGAGCAGGTGGGGCGCTTTATCAGGGCTCGGAAAGTCTCCTTGGACACTATCCACCCCTCAGGTGAGTACGAGTCGCCAGACTGGTCTGTCTATAAAGAGGTAGGGGAAATTCTATGCAGAGGGTTACAGCTTTGACCCTGTCTTCCCACCCTGCCTAGGCCTGGCCGCTCTGCATGAAGCTGTGCTCTCTGGAAACCTGGACTGTGTAAAGCTGCTGGTCAAATACGGTGCGGACATTCACCAGCGAGATGAGACTGGCTGGACACCTCTGCATATCGCTTGCAGCGATGGGTACCCTGACATAGCCAGGTGAGACTATGGAATAGGGCACAGAGGCTCCATCCCACTCCCTCCAGGCTTCAATTGGTCTCCAGCATGTGAACCCCCAAAGATAGCTCTGACGGTGTAGGCAGCAACTCTGAGGGATTCTGGCAGTTTCTACCCGATTGCAACATTAGAGCAAACTGGAAAATCTGGCCATAGCTTCCAAGGGGTCAGGTTTCTCCCTCCTCTGCCTGGAAAGAACAAAAACAAACAGGTGACCCCCAAATTCTAGCCTTCTGTTCCTGGGAGGGCTGAGTAGGCTTTAACCAAAAGCCCTTCACACCCCAGGTATCTCATCTCTTTGGGAGCAGACAGGGATGCAGCCAACGATGATGGCGATCTGCCCTCCGACCTTATTGACCCAGACTTCAAGGACTTGGTGGAACTCTTCAGAGGAACCAGCATGGACTGAGGAACTGAGCCAGCCCTGCCCTTGGGTTTGTGCCTCCCTGGAGGAGAGGCAAGCACCTTGTCCTAGGGGCCAAGGTGTGCGCACTGAGCGTGCCAGGGAGGCAGCCAGGATGCTAGGACTTGTGGGGGCACAATTTCCCCTGCCCCCAAACCCATTTTCTCTGGCCTGACTTTTTCTCCAGGTTTTGCTTTTTTGTTTTGTTTGTTCCTTTTTTATGATGATACTTTTTACTTTTTCAATAAACGTGATTCCCAAGCTGTGATGATGACTAATTAGCGCGGTCCAGTGCCAAACCATCGCCACGCACGCTGAGATGCGGCTTCGTGGAGGCGCAACGCCTCGGGTTAGAGCCGCTGGGACCCGGGCCGCCCCTGTCCCGGTCCAGCCGTCTCCTTTCTCAGACACGCGGGGAAAAACCTCCCCAACCCCGCGTTTCCGGGACGACCTCGCGCGCCTCCGACCTCGCCGTACCCCGTGCGCCGGCGATCACGTGGCCCACGCCGTGCGCGCCTGCGCGACTGCGTCACTTCCGGCCGGCCCACTGGCAGCGGCGGCGGCGGCAGCGGCGGCGAGGAGGGCGAGGTGAGGAGGGCGCGGCGCGGGTGGCGCGGCGGGGCGGGGCGCTGCGGGCTCCGCGGGACCTTGACCGCTCCGCCCCGCCCCGCCCTGGTGTCGCTGGGTCGCCCGGCCGGCGCGGGGAGAGACGAGGCCGGTGTCGCCGCGGGGTGCGGACGTGGCAGCAGCACGGAGGAGCCTCTCTTGCCGGGCCTCCCGCGGGGAGACGACGCCCGCAGTCCCGGGGCAGCCTCCCCGCGGGCTCTTCCCGCTTCTGGGCCGCGCAGGCCCGGCTTCCCAACCCGCGCCCGTGTCTTTGCCCGTTACCTGCCCTGCCCACATCGCTTTTGTGCAGATGCAGTGGCTCTGCGCAAGTCCAGTCCGCAAGGTGGACGGGATGGATGGTGGCCGGAAGTCCCGTGCCCCTGTTGACAAAGCATCCTGGTTCTGGGGCGATCGACCCTCTGGATGCCACCTTTCAGATAGAGGACAAGCTCAAGCAAAGGTCTCCAGTGAGTTAGGATCAGCTGTGAACTTGTGGCTGGGGAGTATCTAGGGCAGAGAGGGAGGCACGCACACACCACACACACACACACACACACACACACACACGACGGAGGGGGGCAGGAGGGGCCTGGGAATACTGTGGTTTGCTAGTCCAGGGAAAGAAGAGGCTGCACCTGACATTCTAGGTCATCATCCGGAAGCACGTCTGTCACTGCACAGCGTCCCTTGCTTGTTTGGTTAGTTATTAAGTAAAGGCCTCGTAATCTGTAAAGGATACAAGACACGGAAGGACGAACCAGAAACTTTGAAGCAGGGACTGATGACACCTGTCTGTAAGCCCAGAACTTGGTGAGGTAGAGTCAGGAGGATCAGAAGTTTAAGACCAGCCGGGACTTTATGAGACCTCTTTTTCTAAAAGGGATGGGGAGTGGAAGGAAGAAAACAAAATTTGGATAGCAGAAATTCCAAAAGAATAATAATGACCAGTCTTTGCACCCTTAGTTCTGGTGGGGGACCCCTGTTGTCGCTTTCGTGGGCAGCAAAGCATGTGCTACATAGCATCATGTCCCTGGCATGTTGAATGCGTTTAGAAAAGTTGAAGTGGGTTTTGGATCCCCCTGCAGCTTGTCCTGTCTCCCCACATTGCCTTCTATGAAGTCCCTGAAGGCCTTGGGTCTCTTAGAAGCTAATGGTTCTGCATAGAATAAACCCAGTCAGTAAGAACTCCCGGTGGGATAGAGGACTGTGAGCAGCCCCACATGGTGTTATTGGGAAGTGGGCATTTCAGAGCAGAGAGGAACCTGATGTAGCATGCAGACAGGAATTGAGGCAAGCTCAGGGAAAATCAGCATCCAGCACCTCGGCCAGCAGCTGCAGCCGTGAAGGCTTTGGGTTGGGTGGGGGCTGGGAGAGCACCTGTGCTAGGTGACAGCTACTTCATCCTCTGCAATAGGCTCTCCAGATGTCTTCTTCCTGGCTAGCTGTGGTAGGAACACGGATAGTATATAAAGTTCCAAGCCCAGGGACTGCCTTATAGTCCTTCCTTGGCAAGGGTCTGCTGTGGCGTGTGTGGTTCTCAGCCCCTGGACCTCCACCTTGTTTAAGTATGAGCTGACACCACATCTGTCTCATACCCAGCGGTCTGCAGCATTCCTTTAGTTACTAGTTTCCACTGGGATGGGGCAGTATGGCTCTGTCGTGGCCATTACCCTGTTGGCTGAAGATCCAGGCTTCAGGTGGCTGTGCATTCGGTGGAGCAGGAGGACCTGGTAAACTGTCCATGGTGACCACTTCACTTTCAGCAGGGAGGACCTCTGTCCAGTGTACCTGTGGTCCCAGGGGACTGGACAGAAGATTAGGGAGTAGGACTTTTAAAAGGCGGCTGTGGAGAAACTGGAGAGAGAAAGAAAGACTTGGTCTGACCTCAGGTGGGACCGTGTTTATTCATGGAGAGCGCTTTGTACCCAGCAGTGCAGATGGCCAAAATGCCTGCAGAGGAAGATGGGATGTGGCCCCTTATAGAGGCGGACTGTACTTCCATGGTCGCAAGGGAAGCTGGGAGGTGTAGTCTTTCAGCAGGAAGCAAGTTTACACCTGACTGCTCTGGGGGCTGTGGTATAGTAGCTGGTGACACAGGAGACACACATGGACCAAGAGCTGTACGACAGTGCACGGCCCAGGTGGACCCAGAGCCGCACGACAGTGCATAGCCCGAGTGGATCCCCTGAGAAGTGTCAGGAAGCTATGCTGCCACTTCAGTCTACAGTGGAGTCGGAAGCTGGGGCCGCAGGGGTGAGTGTGCAGGTCAGAGGAGGGCAGGGCCACAGGTAGGGATGTGTCACTGAGGGTCATCACATCGGAGATATCATCATTGTTAGTTGTGTCTTATTTTATGAGTTTCCCCCCCCAAAATAAAACAAAACACACAAAAGCACCACCACCAACAAAAAAACCAAAAAGTGTGTCTACAAACACAGCAGAGCTTAGTGGTAGCATAAGCTCGTAGCCTAGCTACTCAGGATGCCGATGCAGGAGGATTGCAAGTCCATGGCCTGCTTAGTTAACAGTAAGTTCAAAGACAGCCTGGGCAAATTAGATTCTTCTCAGAAGTAAAGAAGGAAGAGTTTAGACCTAAGGTAGCGCAGTTGCCTAGAGTGCACGAGGCCCCAGAGTTATGGACTTGGATGTTCAGAATTACTGGGACAACCACTTTGAAAGATACAGAGAAAAGAGGTTGTGGGTTGTGCCAGACATAGTGGTAGTTTATGCCTGCAGTTCCAGCCCTGGGGGCTGAAGACAGGAGAACCAGGAGGTCATGGCTGGCCTTGACTACATGGTGATTTTGAGGCCAGCCTGGGCTTCCTGTCTTTAAACACAAACAACAAAAAGACCCAAAAGTACTGTGGAGTTGATGGAATGAGGGATGTATGGCTAGGGCATTGAGACACTTGAAACAGAAGAAAAGCGGGGCTAGGAGGTATTGGGCGTGGAGCCCGGGGTGGTCTTGCCCGACCTCTGCCCCTGCTGCCATCCTAGTGGGAGTCCCACGGTGTAGAGGCCTGGATACTGCATGAATTCTTGTGCAGTAGGGTTCTTTCCCTGGCTGCTCACTCACAATGGATGCCCTTTGTTAGACCACCACCCCATTTACATAGGCTGCTGGGCAGTGGCCTGTGATCTCAGACCCTGCAATGTGCTCAAGTTTGTGGACATCCATGTGCTTCTGCAAACTCTGCCATTATTAGTCCATTGTCCCCGCTTTGGTGCTGGATCCCGACACATTCAGCCTTTTTAGAGACCCTGCTCGCTTGATATCATGTTACTTCATTCCTCGCCAGGAAACATGCTCAGGTTTCTCTGCTTCACCAAACAGAGCCTGCTGCCAGCAGGGCTGGAGCACCCAGGCAGAGGGCATTGGAGGATGTGACCACCAGAGCCCAAGGCTGTATGGGTAGGAGAGGCAGCAGAGAGTAATGACCTGGGGACAGGCACTACCAAGCACCAATGACAGAAAAAGGATGCTTGGTCCCTGGAACTAAGGCCGGGGTTAGCCCCGAGCACTGCCCTGCTGTGTCCTGGATGTAACTGGAGCTCCCCAGCTCGTCTCGCTGCCCCCATCACACCTCAGAGGGCTTTCCTTGTGCTTGATGTCCTGGGCTGGCAGCTTTGGGAAAGACTAAGACAGTGGAGGCAGGGAGCCAGGTTTAGGGAGAGGACAGGTTCTAGAGCTCTTACAAAAGCTGACGTGATGCTGTCGAGGTGTCCACCCATCTGAAGAGTTAATGACGGCTCACTGACCATAGAAGAGCCTTTGGGAAAGCCTGGCGTGGCATGCTTGGGACTGTCTGGGTCTCCTTCCTCTTCAGCATTTGGGGTTGCCCCATCTGGACCAAGGCCAGGCTTAGAACTAACCTTGTATGACTGGTTTTCTCGTCTTGGACTGTGTGTCCTCAGCTGGTTAATTATGAGATTCTGACCCTAAGCATAGATATCCTACCCATTCAGCAGCAAAAATCCTCTGGCCTATAAAGAGGTTGCACCCCCAGGTTCCAGTCACTGGGTCGGGCCAGGCCTGGCTGCTCCCTCCAGGGATGTCTTCCTCCTGGTCTGCTTTGTTTTTGTTCTCTAGTATCCTGGGGTCACTGGTCAGATGTCCCTGAGCTCAGGAAAGCTGATTTTCTCATGTTGCAGTTCCCACGGACAGTGGGGAAGCCGAGTCTTAGGCTTTGCAGAAGAATGCACTGAGTCCTAGTAGCCCTCCGGGGCAGAGCTGGGGTCTGCAGACTGAAGACAGGAGTGGGTGCGAGATGGGGCTGAGCTCATGGCCTCAGTGTCCTCTTGTGCCCTTTGTGTCCTGACTGATACTGACCCCATAGCTGTTCCACTGACGACTCAAGCCTAAGGGTCCTGGTGGACTCAGGGCCGCAGAGGTGGTTCCTGTTTGTGCTGGAAGGGTGACATCTGCAGTGCTTTGGGTTTCTGTTCCACAGGCCGCAGGATTCAGCAGCCAAGCACCAGGACCAGACACCCAGAGATGACCAGGTGGGTGTTAAGTTTATGTGGGGGGGTTGGGACCCCACGTGTCCCACTATCACTTCTCACACTGGAGCTTCCCCCAGCTCGCCTGTCTCCAGAGTCGTCTATAACGGCAAGAGGAACAGCAGTCCCCGCTCCCCCACCAACAGCAGCGAGATCTTCACGCCGGCACACGAGGAGAATGTGCGCTTCATTTATGAAGGTTGGTGAAGCCAATGCAGAGGGCTCTCTCTGCAGGACACCCTCAGCTGACGGGGAAACTGGTGGAGGCGGGATGGGTACCACGGAA